ATTTAATTAGTGGGCTTATAAGTTTGAAAAACGTTGTGGGCTTGCTAAAACCCCATTGATTTCTTCAAGCCCTGACTTTGGGAAGTCCAGAGACCATCACAGAAAACAAATGTCTGGATCCATACTATATGGCTAAAGAGGAGTGTTTTGAGAGAAAAGCATGTTCTCAGTGTTTCAAGGGGAAATTTCTTTGTCATGCATCCTTGGCATTTTAGCTTGCTGTATTGCTGTAATCTTGTTAGTCAGATATTTTCGTGAGTCTTGAAATCTGGGCCTAGATTGGTGCACAGATCATTACATTTTGAGTACAGCTCACTGTATGCTGATGTCAGAGCAGCTTTCATAGTGGACTTAGAAATTCCTGAATTGTGAAAGTAGGAAAACAGAATTTATTCTTTGCAATTTGTCTACTCAAGGTTCCTTACAAACTGTAAGGTCAACAGTTATTTTTCAGTATAAAAATAATAATGCTCTTGAAACTAGTAATCTCAAAAAAGAAGAGCAAAAGCCTGAGCTGTCAAGAAGAGAGACTGTGAGCATAGACTCGGGATTGAATGTGGGCGTTCAACTTCCATTAATGGCTGTATGCCCACTGAAAGGGTTTTATATTTCTTAATGTATATGTGAACATCAGCAAAGAGATGGATCCCAAAAAATAATCAATTATATGAGCAAGATTGAATATGTGCATAAATTATTCCTGCATGTGATAATACTTCCTGTGTGTTTTTTCCAAGGTATCTGTCATTTACTCTGTTACTCTAAGGTAAAGGCTGAGTAGAAACATGTTGGCAAGTAGAGAGGGCATTTTCCAGTGGTATATAAGTTGCATGCTTGGGATCCTATGGGAGACTTCAGGTTTTTATATGAATTTGTGTGTGTGTAAAATGAGAGAATACCTTACTATTACAGGCTCCAGTAGCACAAAAGCATATCTGTAGAGGAGAAGGTCATGACTTCTGCTCACCAAATTACCCATTCTTTTCTGTGGCAAGAATAGAATCTGAAATGAAACCTTTTTTTTTTAGGGAAGAAAAATGGAGTCAGTCTCAGTATTTTGCATCCGTATATTTTCTGAATGAATCCCCTCATTCTATTCATTCTCTCTCTCTCTCTCTCTCTCTCTCTCTCTCTCTCAGTGTTTGTCATCTATGCTGCACTCTTTGGATAAGCAAGTAATATTTATAAGTCAAACAGCGTAGCATAATTCCGTGTGTGTGTGTTTTGGACTAGGTGGAAATGGAGGATTTTGATGCTAATATTGAAGATCAGAAAGAGGAATCCAAGAAAGATACAGCAGAGGAAGAAGAAAGCGAACTGGTAGGAGACACCTCATCCATCTCCATCAAAGTGTACTTTATTGAAATAACTAAGATAGAGTCTAACTATTATAAATCCCAAAACTCTCCACTCCCAGGAATGTAATACTAATACATACGTTATTCCTGATTGGTTTCTTATGCATGACTGAGAGGATTTTAGTATTAAATCTTGATCTGTTTTTCTTAATTGGTTTTTAAAAATCCATGACTATATTTACTATGAATAGGAATAGTATTCTCAACAGAGCATGATACTATACTCCAAGCACTCATCTATAACCTACAATCCACTGGAGCCTGATTTTGTAGACAATTCAAGTTTGAGAATTCTCGGGGGGGCGGGAGGGAGAAAAAGCATGTGTACTGTTACATACGGAATACTCTGTGTAAGTATGAAGACCTGCAGAAACAATGTGATGGGAACAGGATTTATTGTAGTTTAGCTTACTTAAAATTGCACTTGTCTTACGAACTCTTCTTGACTTAAGTAATGTCTGACACCATTTAATGGTATACTTACCTCTTAGAAAGGTTAGGGAAGAAGCATATTATTTTTGCCAAAGTGCACTGTCTTTAGTTGCTAATAATAGCTGATTACTCACTCTTGAGAAGATATATCATTCAAATAACTGAAACCTGGAGAGTGGGCTTTAAGCTTAGCTATTATTTAAAATAAGCTTAGCTAAATATTTAAAAGGCCATGATGATTTATTAAATAAATGTAACTTCTTGGAGCTGTATCTACTCAATGCTTGATGAGAATTGTACATGCCAAATCCTGTCTTCCATTAACAAAGAGAAAAATTGCAATAAAGAAAAAGGTAACAGTGATTCTGAGCAACACTGAGGCCTTTTTCCTGATGACATGGGGGCAACACTAATGGACTCTAGAAGGGAAAGGAAATATAAAAGTTAAAGAAAAAATCTGCTTAGGCAGAGTAGATATTAATAAACTTTTTTTCCTATTGATATGACTCATTTATTCTCTTTATTAAGTTATCCTGTGGCAGGGAGAATAAGTCTGAATAAAGTGTGATCAAGATTTCCATCTAAAGACACTGTTTGCAAGAACAGTGCCTGGATTGCCTGGAAATGGGCCATACCTAAAACAAACAGTAGTGCCTTTAGTTTTCTGTAGCATCTTGTAAAAAGTGTATGTGTGTGTTTCTATTTTGCAGTACAAATAATGACAGATTTGAGTTGTATAAATCAAGGAAAAAGCCTGGAGATGTTAAAATTGAACAAATTATTAATTAAAAGCAGTCCACATATAAATATATCTTTCATTCAGAAACACAAGAGAAAAAGCAGCCAAGAGTTATCTACTATAGTTCATTGTGGCTACTCTGAGGTGGCCAATGTCAGAGAGGCATGCCAGACTAATACAAAAAGGTGGAACAGTGCACTGTCTTTGACATCTGTTGTCTTTTTGAAAGCAGTTGGTGGGAGTTCTTGCATTCATTTGTTACACCTCCATTTTGCCCTTGGAGAAGGAGGGGTCAGAAACTCCTACCAACTGGCAAATGTCCCTAAGAGAGTGTTTTGCACCAAAAGGTTACATCTGAATCATCTTTTATCCTAAGTAAAGGAGGAGGATATGGTACAGATTCAGTACACAGGACATTTAAATCACCATCATATAGAGTCCCCCAATTTTATATGGATGGTCTGATATTTGGGACTTTTGTTTTATATAGGTGCCTATTATCTCCCTCCCTGTCCTGTTTTTTCACACTTACTAGTTGGTCACCCTTCAGTCATAGTCACTCATATGTTGATATATTGATTCTATTGGATTCTTTGTATAGTTCAGAAAAAAAAACTATTTTGTGTGCTTGATGGTATGAAGTATTGACATATTTAATTCAGTGTTCTCAGTGTATTAGTAAAATTAATGCAATTAGCAGAGTGTTCTAAAAAATGCAATGTTCTAGTAGTAGATACGTTTTGGAACAGGTTTTAATGCACAACTCAGTAAAATTTTTTGATGTAAGTATACGTGTTCATTACAGTATAATATTATAACATAGATGACTTAGTTCCTACTAAATATATATTTGATTAAAAAAACTACTTGCAAGTTAAAGTACGTAATCTGTAGTTAAACTAAAAATCATTCTGAAAATGTTGAAACTACTACTGGATACAATTTAGAATTATATACAAACATTGGAAGAGTCATGATGTGGTGTAAATACAATATATACAACAGCAACATGTCTCTCAGGAATTATATACTCTAATACAGTAGTCAGCCTGTATAGTACCAGTATACCAAGGGTGGGTAATAATTTTTTAAATGGTTACGGGCTGTCTTGGAAAGGGTGGGGCCTTGGATGGAAGGGGAGGGGCCTTGAATGGAAGGGGCGGATCTTTTAATAGCAGGAATTGAAAGGGCTTGCGCCTCCCCTGCAGCTCCCAGGCATCACATTAGCAGGAGATGGGAGCCAAGAGCCCTTTCAGTTACTACTATTTAAAGGGCTTGCTGCTCCTGGCCTTCCTGCAAGAGCGTTGCCTGGGAAACTGGGATGCTATGCTAGAGCCCTTTCAATTGCTTCCATTTAAAGGACTCATGCCTTCCCTGGGCATGTCGGGCAACAAGTTGCCTGGCAGCCGTGGGGAAGACGCAAGCCCTTTAAATAGAAACTGTTGAAAGGGCTTGCGTGTCTCTGGGTCCCAGGAAATGCACTAGGAGGGCGGAGTCTGGAACTGCTTTGTGGACTGGATCAAAGCCCTCGGCAGGCCAGATCCAGCCCACTGAGAGGCTTTTGCCCACCCCTGCAGCAAACCCTAATATCTATAGAGAATGCCTATAAAGAGAGTAGAAGTGGAGTTAGTGTAATGAAATTGATCCAAGGATTGAGGCTAATCTCTTGCTGAAATCTGTTCATAGGGGTGCTTACTCCTTTCTAGAGAGAATAATACTTATAACTAGTTTCTTATACAAGATCTGTTTCAATATGTTGGTTTTTAATATGACTGCATAGAATCATTAGTGTAGCAACAATTTAAGCAGCTGAAATTGGAATATATGAGAGAGCATAGACAAATAATATAACTAAATCATCACTAAGCAAGTGCTGTAAAATGGAAATATCATAAGAGAATAATCAAGTGGATACTTGCATAATTTAATATAGAATAATGTGTAATAAAGTAGATGAATATTGTTTTACATATAAAGTTTCTTTTCATTATGGATGCAATAGTTATATTTTATTATAAGTAATGTTTGAACTATGATAAATTTGCTGTTTTTCAATGAGCAACTTTTTTAGTGTTTCTATCTCATGATTCAACAAAATCTAACTAGTTTAAACTAGCAAACTTTTTTATAAAAGTATTCACCATTTAATGTCCGAGCCCATTCTAAGTTGACTTAGCATAGTAAATGCTTTTGTTCATTCCTTTAATAAGAATATTTAGTGTGAAGTCTGGTTGTGGTGACTTGTTCTGGAAACACATTCTTAAGCGCATATCAAATTTTTATTTGCAGTTGTATTTGTAGTGCATTGAATATTCTCAACACCTGATAATTGATGTTACAGAACATATGCCACTTAGGACAATATAATGTAGTAACTTTGCACACAGTTTAAGGACTATTGTTATCTGTTAAATTTGTTCTGTGTTTGCAGAAGCAGCACTCTTATAGCAGTGCACGAGAGCTGATAAAAGCACTGAATATTAAAATGGATATAGAAATTCTGAAGTATATAGTAATTTGGTTTCCCATAGTTGCTAACTGTGAATTGCACTATACCAAAAGAAATGTTTTAAGCTCCCATTATAATGCTTTTTCCAGTTCAAAAGTGATATGCGTGTGTGTGTGTGTCTCTAATACTTCGAGCTTCTCTCTGTGTATGATTTAGGGTTACATTCCGAAAAGCAAATGGGAGATGGACACTTCTGAGGCAAAGCTAGGTGGGTATCTCTTTTTTCCTGTTTTCTATATTTGGTATCTGATGGTATGTATAGAACTTTAATTTGCTTATTTGTGCTGTGCCTCCCTGCCAAAGACCAAATGGCTTGTAATGATTTCATAAATGTGTATGTGAATCTACAAGACATTTCTCTTTCAAGTAAAAAGATATTAGATATTCTAATGTTCCTAACCATGGCGGTTTTATACACTTTGACAGGGAGCACACATTTCCATACTAATGCTCATCCACATGTTCAAAGAAAGTAGTTTGTTTAATAAGAAAAAAATGCAATATTTCATTCTTCCTCTATATTGTAAACAGGCAACAGAATCCATTCACATTATACTACATTTATTTGTGCTGCATAAATTTTTTATTAAGTCTAAATTTTCAACTCAAAAAGTGTCTGTCTTGTAAACATGGGTGTCATGCTGGCTGAAGGAACGGTTGGTGTATCCTAATTCTTGTGTGTTCATTCAGTTTTATTAAGGCATCATAGAGGGGTTACAAACATAAATATTTTACCTTCTTTTATTATATGCTTCTTTTTTATGTGTACTTTTTTTTTGAGCCTACAGGAGAATATGGTGAATTTAATAATCAGGGAGAGACTGTTTTTTCTTACAGAAATGTTTAGTTGGGAACAGTGCTGGATAGCCTTCCAAAACTGTAATGTGACTAGGTAGCATAAGCTCTGTGCTCTGAACCTGGTTCTCAATGATCCAGTCATAATCACTTCCTTTAAAAGATCTCTATATATAAATTAATGTTAGCTGTTCAAATGAAAATCCTTGGGAGTTGTGCGACACTTTTCATAGGATTCATAATGGACCTTTCTGGAATAGAAGGAGATTATTTTAACTCCTCCATTCTCATTAATGTTGTTGTGTTGCAAGATGTTATCTGTTATATCCAGTATTTTCATATAACCAATATTTCCATCAAAATCAGCAGTGGTATTAAAATAGGATCTTTGAATTAACATGGGTATAAGTATCACTTTCAGTCACTTTTATGATAATATATATCTGAAAGGGGATATGTAGTATACATTTCAAAGAAAAAGTTCACTACATATAACTGCCTAACCGTCTGAACTGTGAGTCTGAGTATGGGATATATTCCTTTATATTCTTGTTTTCAAACTCTGACTGTAACGTGGAACTGGCACTATTTACATAAATGGAATTTTGTCTTGTGCTGTTCAACTGCTTTGCTGCAGCATCTCTTCTGCTACCATGTTCTGTTGCTCAGCCATTGAAATCCTGATGGAACACTGAGACTTCCTTGTACACTCAGCACTGCTGAATGAGCCTTTCACCAATATCTGTGGCCCATCAAATAGCTAAGCAGATAAACAAGAAGCTCGTTCTGAGGTTGTATGGGCTCTTGCTGTAGAGTTCACTACTGTGGTCCGTTGTTAAGCTTATTTCTTAGGGCTTGCCATGGTAAGTTTTAAGAAATGTAGCTTTGGAAATAATAGTGTAAAATACTCTATTGTTAAAAAAATTCAAAGCTGTTGGTTATTGTCTTATACTCTAAATAACTATTGTTTTTCATTAAATGTGCATAAGAGGAACAGAAGTGTCACGTTACACGTAACTAACATTTTTACCCCCCCAAAAGTCCTCAGTTACACACATTTTACACGTATCAAACACAAAAGTCCAAAATATGATGATACATAGAACAATTAAACTCTTTTAAATATATAACATTCTTTGTGTAGCATTCCTAGCAAAACTGTGTATGGCTGCAGCAGAAATGAACAAAGAGAACTTTTAAAATCTCCCCCTTAATTGTTAAATCTCAATAATTAAAATAGAAGCAAAATAATTTTTTATAATATGCTTTCTGAGTCATAAAGCCAAACTATAAAAGTCATATAGGATCATCTGCATTTAACCCATATATATACAAATAAATGTATAATAAAATGCAGAGTTAAATTCCTAACAAAATGTCTGTATTAGCCGTTGATCTTGACATCAGCTATACATATTTCTTGTAACTAGCTCTCATCAGGAACTCGGCTAACAGACAGGACACCAATATTTACATAATCACCACGTCAGGTTGCTAAAGAGGTTTCACTGCGGAAACAGATTGAATTTATCCCTGTTTTGATTTAACTATCCCCTCTACTAATAAATCGGAATTTTACAAAAGCTGTAGAATAAACAAAATGGACTTAAAACAGGTATCCAGTTTCTACAAAGAGCTCTAAATCTTATTGCAGTGGATGCTGTTTCTTAGAAGATTGCTTTATAAATGCAGACATTGTCAGTTAAAACTGTGATTAAAAACATTGCATTTTGGGCCTTAAGAATGTTATATCTGATGTATCCTAGGATTTCCAGGGTAATGCTTGGTGAGCCTTCTGCATGAAGCTCCACCCCCTCTACCGTAAGCTTTGCCCCTTCCACCGAAAGCTCCGCCCCTTCCACCGAAAGCTCCACCCCTTCCAGGGCACAGAGCCTCTCCCCTGATCCGTAGGGGCCCAGTGAATCTGTCAGCCCAACTGCCTTGGTAGCTACAAATTCTGTTGTGCTTTCTATCTTTATTTATAAATTTTGTTACAGGTAAGGTACAACAGAATTTTACTGGCTGCAATGTGTCATGAAGAATGTTTGAAATGTTGAGCTTTTCCTGAACATACTTGTGACAGTCACTAAGCATATAAAAATTGCCTTGCCTCTGAGTTCCTGCTCTAGTTAATATTTATTCTGGGAGGGATGGTACATTTGTCTTCTGAATATTGAGAGTCTGCATACCGCTGCCCATTTTTCATACATTTAAAATATAACTACTATGTCAATTTGCTCTACTGTATTTGTGCAGCAAGTTCTTCCATTTACAGCTTACAGAAATGGGCTAATGCTTGTTGTCTTGACTGAAGTATAATTTTTAAAAGCATGGTGAAATAGTGCAAAGTTCAGACCTCACAGAAGAAGAAACTATCTTCACAATCTCTGAAGTTTAATCTGCACTGGAAAGCTTTATTCTAAAATGCAAATAACATTTCACTCAGGCTACGATCAGTTATGTAAAAATGTGAAAACTATGACTTTTTTGAAGGTGAAGTGTGCCAGTGTTAAAAAACAAAAAGTTCTTAGTTTAATTACAGGTGTTGTTAAAATTAAAGTAATAAAGGTGAGTTTTTAAGAAGTTTCACAGATTTTAACGATACTGCTACTTTGAAATTTTTAAAACTCTAAATGGTAGAATTATTAACACTTGAGAATTGGATGCTAAATAACCATTTCCTTCAATAATTACCATTGTGTGCTCCGTATTACAAAGTGAAACTTTGTCTCATAATAAGAAACTCTTCTGTGTTTGTGCTGAGGAATAGTGCAATATGACTTTGAAAATGCTTCATGGTGTGTCTTCTCTGGGGCATTTCTGGACATACTTTGAAGTACTATGTAATGAATGGAAGCAAATCTCCCTGGAAGGGCAGCCAACTTCAAACATAAAAGGGGATTACATTTTAAAACATACTCTATACTGAGATAATGTAGTCCTTAAACAAAGGATAATTCAAACTGATGTTGCAGTCCTTAACTCACCTTTTAACATTTGAGTATTGAAAAACTTTCATTTGCCAATTTGTGACTCACGGTCATACACAGGCAAAGTGTGAGAATTATTGCTTTCATGCTGGTGATCAGGTGTGCTTGCTACTCACACTTTGAATCAGAACATCCTGATTCGCAGTGGGAAAGTATTGATATGATTGCCTTATCACCGGGGTCCTGGACATCTCCATTAATCCAGCTTTTATATACTCTTAAATATGTGCACTGCTCTCTTTTTCAGTGCCTTTTATTCTTTAGACCCTTATGATAGCAGTGTCTGTGTTGTATAGTTTGTGAATAATACTAGATGGGCTTGGGAAGTACCTTTACTGCTGGAGCAATATAAAGGAATTTCCCATGCCTAGTGTCTCTTCTGAAAGGAGATGGTAAGTCTCTATGGCATTATAATCACAAATTTGACATATTTGGCTTCTTTTATTCTGAGTAACTATTAGCAATCCAAGAAAGCAGATTACAGCTATTTTGTGTTAATTTTTAACTGTAGTGTCATTAGGGAGGGAATTTGAAAATGCTTTGCTTGTGCAGATGAAAGATTTGACTCTGTCCTAAGTAAATGTGACATATGGATTCTTGAAAATTCTAGATTTGAATGAGAAAGGGATTACTTTGTCCATTTATCATGTTAAGTTTTACTGAAGTCTACACAAGTCACCATTGTTTTTGATCATACATGATCTCCAGTACTATTCTGCTTTTTGCCATTTTAAATAAAATTCATCTACATACTGAAATTCTTTGGATGAACATTTTTAGACTATCCTTTTCTGTTGCCAAGCAAATAGGCTGCTTTGTATTTGATTAATTTCAAAGATCTCCCCTTGGCTAATTTCATAATAATGGTGGCTTCTGAGCTAGTTTCAGTGGCATCACTGGCAACAGTTCGCGGAGAACACTAAATAACTAAAAAATCACTCTACATATACTATGTGGCAGTGATTGTAGAAACTGTTTAAAATATAGGGCAGAAAACTTAACTACATGACATTATGAACCAGTGAGTAAACACCAATGGAAGAAACAGTAGTAGAATTAGTTTTAGCTCTGTAAAGCCAGTTTCATATCTTAACACCTGCTAATCCTTAACCTTTTACTTTGATTACTACTAACAATCTGCTTTGAATAAGTGGCCAAAAAGAGGAAGTTCTTATAACTCAATAAATGTCCTCTTGTTTCACCTCCTCTCTCAGCCTGGTCACTCTGGTTCAGCAAGCAACAGAAGAAAAAAGTGACTTTTGGACAAACTTCTAGTGTGACCTCTCACACCATGAATAATAAATTCCAAGTCTTTCTGCAGTCTTGGGATTTTCTGTTCAGTAGAAACCGTTCTTCAAAAACTGCTTTATGTACAGTCCATAATAGGTTTAACAATGATGGACACTAAATTCCTGATATTGCATATTATGCTATGTTTGACACAGTATTAAACCCAATGCTGGAAGATAATGTGTGGCATTACTATTGTGTTAAACTGCAGAATAGATGGGACTGCCATTCTGCCAACAGCCATTCTGTTATTGACTGCTGAGCATGGACACTAAATCTTGTGAACTTCCAGGAAGATACATTTTCCTCCCTTATACAAACAATACTGAGTGTTACTGATATGAAAAATTAATATGAAAGATGGAAATCTGTGTCAGTCGTTAGAAGTTGAAACACACTAGAGGTCATTCCACTCCTCAACAGAATCTGGATGTGTAACACACTCATTCTTTTGAAAGCATTCCCCTTCTCATCTTGTGTGTGTGCTTATTACACAAGTTTTCTCCTTTAATGCTGAGGCTCTGTGTTTGTTCTCAGACAAGTTGGATGGCCTGCGGACAGGCACAAAGAGGAAACGTGACTGGGAAGCAATTGCCAGCAGAATGGAGGATTATCTTCAGCTTCCAGATGACTATGATACACGAGCTTCGGAACCGGGCAAGAAGAGGGTAATAAACTCCACTGTTGCTTACTATCTCTAAGGGACTCCTATATCATTCTCTCTGTGGAACATAATTTGAACCATTCAGTTTGCCTGCATACATGGTGAACTTACTATTCCATTTCATTATCCCATTAGATACCAGAGCAAACTATTCTTGAGAATATGGTCTTCCAGACACATGCAGATTTGATATGCCTTCAATATGAGGCATTGAAGATAGTAAAGATTAACAGCGTAAATCACAGATTTTGATATTTAGGAAAATGATACACTGTTTTTAAGGAAATGGTCTGTTATGCAGATTTTCAAAGGATACTATAGAGATAAATATTCTGTGGGCATGTTTTGTGAAGGGACAAATGGTATAGTATATAGTGCAGGTTCTGAGAAAATAGGCTACAAAGTTTGTACTGTGTATTGTATATGAGAAAAGAGGAAAATAAAATGGGTTTTATCTGTATGATTTATATTCGATTAAATGGGATAGAAGAGATAACTTCATGTGTCCTAAAATTCAGGGCTGGTTCAATTTGAGTAATTTTCTTTGGAAAAGTAGAATATATATAAATAAAAATGTATCCTTTATCTGCTGCTTGAAATACTGCTGTGAATGGAAAATAAAAATTCATGGAGACAAAAATGTACCAATTGGCATTTTGAGCATCACTTAAAATAATAATCTACCATTACATTGGGTATGTTAGAGCTAAAGTTTCTTAATTACATTTAGACTGTCACTAAAAATCGAGGAAACCGCCAGAAAAGTCATTTACATCTATATTCAACCAACTTGTCTTACCCCCTAAACATCAATAGATTATAGTTTGAGTCCTCCACTCCATAACAGACTCTCTTTTATTCCAACATACATTCAATAACCCAAACTCTAATCTCTGCAATAGTCATCTAAATTCCCAATAATGTGTAATCCAGGCATGTCCAAAATCCGGCCCGCAGGCCAATTGCGGCCCGTGTTCCGATTTAATACGGCCCCACAGGTAATTTGGCAATATCTATCTTTTATGGCCCCCAACGAATCCATATGTATTGAGATGAATACATTGTAAAATCTCAGTTAATGTCAGTTGGTCTAAATCAGTTATAAATATATTTGGACACAACATGTATACTTGGTGTTATGTTCCTGTTCATATTTTTTGAACTTAAAAGTTGACAGACAACCTTTATTACCAATAATATGTAATGTACTTTACAATGTTCCTGACATATATTTCAGCTTCCTGGATTTTTTTTTCATCTGGCCTTCAGATATGAAAGGCAGAGTGATTTAACACCTGTTTAGATTTGTCATCCATGTGACGAAATGAAAAGTATGCCGTTTGCAATAAACTTTGCATAAAATAGTTAATTTGCATTTAATTTTAATGGTTCAAAGAATGTCAGGCAAAATGGTCGGCCCTCACGCATGTTCACTTCATCAAATCTGGCCCTCTTTGAAAAAAGTTTGGACACCCCTGGTGTAATCATAATGGATTAATTGTGCACGGAAAATAAGAGGTTGAGGTGCAGGTTGTGCAGTTCAGAGGAAATGGGAGGAACCAGTTGTGTATGCTGTTGTATGTTAAAACTGAAAGGCTACGTCTACACCGGCATGATTTTCTGGAAATGCTTAAAACGGAAGTTTTCCGTTATAAATATTTCCGAAAAAAGCGTGTCTACATTGGCAGGATGCTTTTCCGGAAAAAGCGTCCGTGTCAATGTAGACGCGCTTTTCCGCAAAAAAGCCCCGATCGTCATTTTTGCAATCGGGGCTTTTTTGCGGAAAAGAAATCTGTGCTGTCTACACTGGCCCTTTTCCGGAACAGTTTTCTGGAAAAGGACTTTGCCCGAACGGGAGCAGCATAGTTTTTCCAGAAAAGCACTGATGATTTTACAGTAGATCGTCAGTGCTTTTCCAGAAATTCAAGGGGCCAGTGTAAACAGCTGGCAAGTTATTCCGGAAAAGCGGCTGATTTTCCGGAATAAGTGGCCAGTGTAGACACAGCCAAAGAGTTTGTAATGGTGTTGGATGATAAGATGTAAGATGAGGTTGGTGTGGATGTTAACTTTGACCTTTCTAGCAATATCCTTAATTTTTAAAGATCATGTTAATAGAAAATGCAATTAAGCAACCTTTACTCTGAGCTAATTTTTGTGGAGAGTGTCTTTGATTTTTTTTTTAAGTGTTGATAGACAGATGGAGGGGATTAGTTTTGGCTAGTGCACCTGGAGGAGTGGGAGTATTACGGAGTTTTTGGCAGGAAGATAACAGTGGTTGATGGCCAGTGAGAATGGGGAGATATGGGATAGTTAGTTTGTGGTTGTGAACCAGGTTAGCAGGAGAGTGGTACTCAGTGTAGGTTTGTGCAGAGGAAAAAAAAGATTGGAGAAGAGGAACCGAGGTTTATTTTGTTGTATGTCCTATGGTCTAACACAGTGGTTCCCAATCTTTTTGATACTGGGGACCAGTAAATCCATTCACAAACTTTTGGAGGACTTGATAACATGTATTTGCATATTTGCATATTCCTTAAGCAAATAATGAATATGCAAATAAATTGTCACTGGCCCTACTTGTCTGGAGGGTTGTGTGTGTGTGGTCCTCCTCTCCCCCGCTTTATTGGCTGGTGCTGGCTCGCCTGGCTGCATCTGGCACAAGGCATTCTGCGTTGGTGCACACTGCTCCCGGTGGGTTGTTCTGCCCCTCCCCTCGCCCCCAATCCTGGCCGCTTTATCAGCCAGTACCGGCTCCCTCAGCTGCGTCCGGCACCAGGTGTTCTGTGTCAGTGTGCATGGTGCCCGGCCTTCTCCTGGGTCCTAGCGCCTGCCGGATCTAGCCCCGCTGCCCAGGAGCATGCACAGCAGAGACGCCACAGCGCCGGGGTCTCTCCCAAGAGGGCCACGCTGCCGCACTCAGCAGTGCGGGGTGCAGCTACCCCGTCACACAAATTAATAGGATTGTGCGCAATAATTTTTCTAAGGATCGGTATTTTTTTTTTCTAAGGACCAGTACTGGGCCACAGACCACACTTTGGAAAACGCTGGTCTAACAGACAACAGCTCTATTCCAGTAGACCACCTGCTCATAAACTATAAGTGATCTACGGAGGTTAATAGGATTTGACTATGGCTGACTCATCGCTCTCCCTGGGGCCCCTACTTACTTACTAAGCTTTTTTTTTAACAATTATTAACATTATATTTTTCTAAATATAAACATTCATACAAAATTAGTGGTAATAGAAATAAATATAAAATTCTTCACTGGAACATTGGGTTAGCAGAATGAGGATATTAAACTAAGTAGGTTGGGAAACTGGGCTAGTAAGTGAGGCATAGTCATTGGGGACCAATGAGCCTGCAGGAACTGGGATCAGAGGGTAGGGTGGAGAAACTATTTGTTCCTGAAGTTATGTCTGCACAGCAAAGAAAAATCCAAGGCTAGCCTGTGTTAATTGACATGGGATTATGGGGCTCAGGCTATGTTACTATTACATTGCTTTGTAGATTTTTCGGCTCAGGAGTTCTGGGACCCTCTCACCTTGCAGGATACTAGAGTTTGGGATTCATCCCAAGCTGGAAGTGAAAAACAGTAGTGAAACAGCCCTGCAGCCCAAGCCCTGCAAGCTCAAGTCACCTAGCTTGGGGATGTGTAATTACCTTGTGAACATACCCTGAGTTGCCTGCAGATACTGTTTCTCTTGCCTTCTCATCACTCTTCCTACCTGATTCCATGGTTACAACCCTTCAATTAATTGCTTTTATGACCTCTTCCTCATTTCCATCCCCATTCCATTTATACACGTATGTGTGGATAAGAAGGTGACTGCAGAGGTCTGAACAAAGGTGAGGAATGTGAGTGACATTAAGAAGTCTTGGAGGAGGAAGTTGCAGTTGTCAGGGTGGGACAGAACATAAATGCATTTATGGTCAACTTAGCACAGTAAGTGAAATAGTGCAAAGGTTCATCCAGGAATGTGCCATAAAAGCTAAAGATAGAAAATAACTATTTATTGTGACTCTCCTTCAGACAGTGCAGGAATGTTTCCTACTGTAGTTTGTCAGTCTAGTTTTAAATGTCTCTAATATGTAATGAAGTTTACAAGGTAGATGTAGAGAAAGATTTTAAAATGGTAGCTCAACATTGTAGTACTGTGTTCTCATTTCCACTTCATTTGGGACTAAGAGAATACTGATTTGCATACACTACAGTACTAAACATTGAGAAGTAAGTCTATGTAATCCTTCCTTCCAGAATCACTTTGTGTTTTGTGGCTTTCCTCTGGTATCGCTTAGTCCTTCTACACAGAATACTTTCTAGTGGTCTCTTATCTTCCTCTTGTTTTCTATGAGCATTAGGCATCCAGCCATACTCTTCCTCTTCTAAGCCTTAGAAAGGGGAATAAATGCAGCTACTATGCTCTGAATCACAGAATTATTAGTGTTAAAAAGGAAAAGGCTTAAACATCTCACTTATCTTCCAGTCAGGGCAAAATTCTTCCCCACTTTTAAATGATGTAATTGGTGGGCCTTCTGTTGTTTCCCTTCAGAGAATGATCTTTAGTCTTCAATTTTAGACTGCAAATGAAGATTTTTCCTTGTATGCTAGTCTGTGAGAAAGACATACATGTATTCAAGTGTTTATTCTTGAATGGCTGTCCTATTGATACTATGTTTTTCATAGGTGAGGTGGGCAGACCTAGAAGAAAAGAAAGATGCAGATAGGAAAAGGGCCATTGGTTTTGTGGTTGGACAAACTGATTGGGAAAAGATCACAGATGAAAGCGGTCATCTTGCTGAGAGAGCCCTCAACCGCACCAAATATATTTGAGACAATTATTATATGGAATTTTTGTACCTTTAAGGTAAGTGTTCCACCACTGTACAAATTTAGTCTCACTGATTTTAAGACTCAGAGGGGTAGCTGTGTTAGTCTATACCTTTAAAAACAACACGCAGTCTTGTGGCCCCTTACAGAATAACAAATGTATCACGAGATTTCATGGGTGAAGTGAGTTTTAGCCACAAAAGCTCATGATATAATATATTTGTTGGTCTCTAATGTGCCACAGGACTGCTCGTGGTATTTTTTGTTTGTGTGTTTGTTTGCTTTTGTTTGAGTTGAGGGTGAGATTAAAGCACACACGTTGGTAGGATTCTCTCTCCAGATATTCTTGTTTGGGGCCTGGAATGTTAGGTGGATTTGCCAGATGTGCATGTTTAATAGGTGTGTAATCTCCTGTGTAAAGTGTGAAGATTGAAGGCAAGTGAGTATCAGCCTTCAAAATCTCCAAGCATCGTCAGTAATAAGAGTAAAAGTGCTCATTATAAGGACAACTGGAATATGTCAGCTGGGTACCTAGTTCTTCCAGCTCCAGATTCTGCACTATTGTATTTGAATTCTGATAATTTTTACTGATACATTTCTCAGTGTAACAAACTTTTCTTTTCTTAACAGGCCATTTACTTTGAGGAGAACTAAACCCGTCGTGGCATGAGTATCCTACGTGGATCACGTCACTCCCCCATCTTCATAGATTTTTGTTTTGTTTTGTTGTTTTTAGTTTCTGAAAGTTCCTTGAAATATTTGCAGGTGATAACCAGTGTCCTCAAAAGACATAAAATCCTGCTGCACCTAAGCGAGAGAGTTTTCATTTTAGTATTTTTTTTGAGGGGAGAGGGAGGGTCAGTAGTTTTAGCTGCTATGCGTGGGGTAGGGTGGAAAAAATAGGCAGAGAATGTTTCCTCCACTGTACTGTAACAGAATGTCTGTATCACCTTTGCTTTGTGGCCGTTCTCGTTTTATACTGTACGTACCTTGTAGCTTATTATACTAGGAAACAGAACAATAAACTTTCACTATAAACCCAGTGAGTTTGGTGGGCCATACAGCATGGGCCTTTTTCTTGGTGTTTGTTTTACCTTTTAAATGTGATCTGTCTTCATGTGCTGACAGAATATTCAAAATCGCCGTTATCTAGAAGAGGCATCAGGCTTCTGAGTTCACATCCTACCTGGGGTCTCCAGGAACACCTGTGATCCTCTTTATAGCCAGCTTTTTTTAGGCCTTGGTTTTTGTTGGACTGCAGTAATTTTGCATCTTCTCTTTCATGCTGAAGTGCAGCTGTTTTTTAAAGTGTTTTCTGGATTGTTAGTTTCTCAGCTGTTACATTTCCATTGCTACCTGCGAGTTTGAGTTTAATTCTGTAGTACTGAAATATTCTCAGTAGTAATGTGGGGTGTGAAAAATGCTTCTTTGTTGCTGAGTTTAAAATTAAAGCAAGTAATAGAAAACTGTGAATGTGGGAAGCCCTCTTGGTGGGAGCCCAGAAAGATCCTCTGGTCACAATAGGTCATGTCTGTTTGACTTCCCATCAATGCATATTCATTCCCTTCACAAAATTTGATTTCACTTAAAAAGAACCAGAAAATTCCAGCCAAGTAAAGGGCTTACCTTGATGTAAAAGATAGATATATAATTGTCCACATTGAGAACAATGGGGTTGGGGTTTTATGTACAACATCATTTGTCTCACCACTGATACATAGTATTACAGATTTACTAATGAGCAAATTGAATAGATCATTTTTGTCCTTTCAGGGTTTCCAGGTTAAGAGTTTTACGGAAGGAGAAGGTGCTAGATTATATTTTAAATGCTACAAATATTTTAGTTCATGGTGAATTATTTGAAATTGCTGCTTTGTACACTTTGAAGAAAATGAAATTCTGAAAGCTTCTTCTATGTTCCTTCTGCTGGGTAATTACATTGCAGATTGCTTCTACGTTTATTAACCAGTTAGCACTGATGAGGACATTGTTTAGTAAATTAAAAGAGAGCCATTGTTTGTAATATTGAATGGTTTTTGTTTATCAGTCTAATACATTTCTGTTTACTTGACATTTCTCAGCCTGATTTATTGTGTGTGATTGAAAGCTCTTTCTCAGGTGAACAACAGATTATCTGAATTTCTGTCCTGAATATATATTTATATATAAGAAAATGAAGCTTCTTGAATTCAATGCTGTTATACCAGAAAGTAACAAATGCTGATTTGTGTGTATACATCCCATAATACAGCAGTTTTTACTTTTTAAATATTTCAAAGTACTCTCCTTGAATTCTCAGTCGTCATTGCCAGTAGATAACAAAGTAGTAATTGCCAACAACCTCAAGAAATCAGAGGATTTTCGTGAGTTTGTGGAGATCAGGCAAGGTTTGTCTCATAAGAGTTTTTCTCATTTCTCTGCCTAATGGCTATTAGAAGAATTCTGAGGCTACGAACTGGATTCTTTTGGCCATTACAAATCTGGCTTACTAATGGTATTTCCTGAATCCATTTTGACTTCTTGTGCCATTTTGGTGGGATAGTTCTTTCTTCAGATGCTAAGAGTTGATGTTTTCACTGTATCCTTCATAATAAATCTGCATCAAGTTTGAACACTTTTTCTTCCTAGGATAAAATATATTTCTTCGAGTGATATCTTATGTCTGTTCCAATAGGTGTGTGCCTGCATTGCAGTCGTCAGAAGATTTTTCCCTAGTGGAACCCAACAAGACAACTGTGGAGCTACCTAGAGTGGCACCTTCATGGCAGATTATAGTAGGTCCCTGATCACCCACAGCCTGCTCAGTTCCTTCTTACTGCCAGTGACAGTCATTGGAGCAGCTCAGTCTCTTGCATTCACAAGTGCCTATCTAGCTGGTTCCCTTTTAGTCAGTTTTAAATAGTTTTAATGGTTTTTGTAGTTCAGTACTTGCCGTTTCAGTGGTTAGTTTAGCAGTAAATTTACCTTGCCTCCTCTCCCCCCCCAAATTTCTCCCAGAGGCCAGGGCATGCCTTGGTCTCGAGATTAAGTCATGTGAGAGGTATGAGAACTCTGTGCCAAGAAGGGAGCCTCATGCTGCTTTTCTTATGTGTCTGGGAGAGGGTCATCAGGCACAAAAGAGTTTGCTTTGCAGAAACTTTAAGCTCAGGATTAAGGAGGAGGACTATTGTCTGAAGCGCCTCTTAATGGAGTCGACCCTATGACACCGGCAGCATCGACAGTGCAGTGGCCTCAGTACAGGACACTTGAACACCAAGGAAGGACTCATCCAAGGAGCATCGACACTGCGTCCCAGCTCAGAAAGCCAATTCAAGCACATGGCTCCCAGTGCCACATAAGAAGAAGGCGGCAGAGAGGGGTCCTTCCCCTCCAAGAAGCTGCGAGTGGATACCAGTGGGGTGTATCCTATGTTGGGGCACCAGAATTTGATGTTCAGGTCCCAGCACCATTGACTCCAGCCCTGAGGGGAGGTCTGGTGCCAGTAGACTCCCCAATTCAGGGGGAATTGGAGGAAAAACTTGATCTCCCCTCCATGCCAAAGACCTTTGAGGCTGCCTAGGACATTATTGCCATGATGGCACAGTCCCTGACCTGCAGTCGCAAGCTCTGGCACCCATGTACCAACAACAACAACACTGTCTGCAACATCCATGGTGGCACAGCCGGAGGCACTGCAGCGGCATCAGCACAAGTCCCAGCATTGTCTGCAGTACCAACAACAACACTGTCTGCAACATCTATGGTGGCACAGCCGGAGGCACTGCAGCACTGATTGTGGCACCCTGCCTTTCCCGTTCAGCAGTGGGGCAATCCCACAATGGTGCGGCACCACTCTCCATCTCCATGCTACTACTCCCCTGTGTCATCTGTGTCCGTCTCACTGTGGTTTAGCTCAGAGTACTCTTGAGTTGGAGGCTGAATGCTTTGTGCCCTGACGCAGCTGGTACTGTTTACATTCCTGGTACTCATCTTGGCACCATGGAGTGGAATGCTCTTCGGTACCAGTGGTACCCTGGCCACCCCTGTGTCAGGGCCTAGTAAAATGGCCCTTTTGGACAGCTTAGGCCAATCAACAGTCTAAGGGACAGGGTTCCAGAGGCATGTTAGTGGTGTCCATGGCTAGTGTTCTCCTGTTGGCTACATTGGTGTCGTGACACACCCCCAAGGCTCCTGAGGATCACTGCCAATGAGCCTTTGCACATAGGTGCAGCTTTAGAGCTAGCACCATCCATGGTGCAGGTGCCAGCTCTGGTCACGTGAGATACCAATGTACCTGAGCCAGCTTACTTCAGGGAGTCTGAGAATTAGGAAGAGCCAGGCCTACCTCAATCCACCTTCTCACTGGACAAAGCAGTGGTGGGGAACACCATTACACTCTCTGTGATAGACACAAAGGTGCACCAGGACCTTCTCAGGAGGATGACCCAAAAACTAATTTGCCTGGTGGAGGAGGTCACAGAGGACTTCGTTGCCCTTGAAAATCCCTTAACAGGTAGACTTATAAAAACTATCCAGAATATCACAAAGGTGGTCTGGTGGACACTGGCCTTGATATCACCCATCTGTGGAGAGGAGGTATTTTGTGCTACAAAGGGGATATGAACATCTCTTTACCCACCCTTAATCTGGTACTCTAGGGGTGGATGTGGCGAATCGTAAAGAGTTGCAGGAGTAACCAGGATCCCTGCTCTCAAATCAAGAGAAGCTAAAAAATTGGACCGTTTTAGCTGGTAGGTCTACTCATCCAGAGGGCTCCAGCTTCAAATAGCCAACAGGCAAGCGGTTATTCAACAGCTATGCTTTTAATTCCTGGAACTCATTAGCAAAATTCCAGAACTTGATCCTGGCTGACTTGTGCCCAGAGTTTCTGGTGGTTCTACAGGAGGGCAGATTGGCATCCAGGACCTCCCTCTAGGCCACTTTAGACTTGGTGGCTCATACTATGGCCACCACCATTACAATGAAGTGTAGCACATGTCTACACGGCTACACGTTTCAGGGCTGCCTCTTGAAGTCCAGAACACCATGCAGGGCCTCCTGTTTGTGCAGACTTGTTTGCTGATAAAACAGACTCCCGTCTCCATGGTGTTAAGAATTCATGGGCAAGCCTTAAGTCTTTGGGGATCCACATACCACCCTAAAGAAAGCCATTAAGCCTCAGCCCCCTTTCTGCTTCATTTCCAGACCTCCAAAGTAGAACTCTACCAGGTGGCAGGGGCAGGAATAATAGGAGGAGTCTGTTGCAGTTCTCAGGCCAATGCTAGGGGGTTTTCCAAACAGCTTCCCTAGCCTGAAGCTGAACTTTTAAAGGTGTGCTCAAGGATGGTGCATCAGTACCAAACTCTCATCCTCCCTCCCCCACTTTGTGAATCGACTATCCTACTTCTACCCTGCTTGGTCCCAGATTACCTCAGATCACTGAGTCCTGAGCATGGTAGGATGGGATATCAGATTCTGTTCCTTCACAGCCCCCTTCTCCCTGTCTCTTCCTACAGGAGGTGCAATCGCTTCTCACTCTAGGGGTCATAGAGAGGGGTTCCTTAGGAGTTTGGGGCAAGAGGTTCTACTCCCGATATTTACTCATACCCAAGGCCAAAGTTGGGCTCAGGCCTGTCATATATCTGTGAGATCTCAACTAATTCATAAAGAAAGTGGAGTTTCACATGGTCTCCCTGGTATGCCTCAGCTTGAAAGATGGGTACTTCCTTATCTCTGTTAACCTGGCCCACAGATGGTTTTTCAGTTTGTGGTTAGTGACCAGCACTACCAGTTCATGGTGCTCCTTTTTGGGCTCTCAGCACACTCTCAGGCATTTATGAAGTGCGTAGCAGTTGTGGCAGCATCTGCAAACATCAGGTACAAGTCTTCCTGTATCTGAATGACTGACTTGTCAAGGACAAGATGCAGGCACAAGTTGTGGAACATCTCTGGCTTATGCTACCTTTTTCAGATTGGACCTCATACTGATAGTGCCCAAAGCGACACTAGCCTGACTCGGAGAATAGAATTCATAGGATCTCTCTTTGACTCCACGTAAGCCAG